AACTGATTCAGTAAAGGAGTACAATTTTACAAAAAGCTTATTCAAGCAAAATACAGTGAACTTCCTTAAAAACGGACAGAAAAGAACAAAAAGTAGAACAAGATCAACAGGCAGTTCTGTTCAGCATGGGAACAATGAGTTGAAAGCTGAAGTTTATCTCAGTGGCACAAAATGAAACAGTTCCTTTTTTTTCTGACCACATTTGAGGCTTCCTCTCTATCCCAATTTAAAAACTAAAATATTCTATCTGATTCTAAGGCCTATTAAAAATAGCTCGTGACAGTTTATCTTGTTAACACACAACTGAATACAGACAGATGGAGGCCAATGTTAAGCTACTGCTGCTGCAGTTTACACTTCATTAATTTCCAGTGAATGAGACACTGTAGAGACTAGTAATCCTCAGTAAATTGTAACACACCACACCTCTGAGGAATAATGCTTACGTTTTCTGCAGAACCCCTACATGCCTCTGCATGCCTATCACGAATTCTCATAGTTACATTCTTTCTTCATATCTGGCTTTTTATTATCAAAATAGAGATAGCATAACTGGTCATCATAGATAAAAATAAAATCTTGTAAATTTACAAATCAACAATTATTTAGAACCCTGAAATAAATTGTAATAAATTTATCTTGGCTTTGGACAATCTCTTTGTACAATACTGCTCCCTACAGGGAAAAAGAGGAAGTTACAAAATCATTTCCTTAGTAACCTACCACAAAATGATTTCCTTAGTACACCATACAGGAACATCCATAACTCATTGTGATCTGGAAATAAATGACATCTTCAAACGGTTGTTGACTAAAAATAAAACAGGAAAACACAGACACAGAATCATAGACAAATATTCCACCAATGTAATATTGCTGTGAGGTGAAAATGCCTCCTATTTGACAGGAAAAGAGGATTAAAAAGCATTTCTGTCAGAATAAAATAATAACTTATAAATAAATATATAGCCACAAAGACTAATGTAGGCTTTAGGTTAGAAAATGTGCCCTTATAAAAACATCTACAACTATAATTACCTTGAACTCACTATAAGCACCAACAGAAAACTTAATTAAGGCTCCAAAACAAACCATGAAGGGTATGAAGGGCATTTTGAATATTAAAAATGTTTCAAAAATTGCATCCTACTCAGAATCTGATTTAAAAGGTCTGTGATGTCTACCCTACAAATGCATTTTGCCAATTAGGTATACGATTTATTTGATCAACATTAAAAGAAAAACAAGTGTGAAAAGTGATATGAAGATATTATACAAAAAATATAAAAAAAGAAAGAAAAATATTTAAGATGACCAAAACTGAAACTAAACAGGATACTGGAATGCTAACTGTCCCTAGATAGAGAAGAAAATTTGGCTAGCTGCATGAAATGGTTTTACCATAATAAAAGGATAACCTGTGACATAAACCCCACACTGAAATTAACCTGCACTTTGCACATATGTTGCACAAGAAATCTTCATGTACACAATTAGGCTACAGGATGCTGAAAAGAACACAAATGCCCTCATAATTAGAAATATGACAGTATCCTGACATTTTATCCTACCGGTCAGATTGTCCTACTAGGGTTTGGCACATGTCTACTCACAATGTAGTAAAAACCTGAAATCACGTAGGCTACATTGCAGTTGTTTCTCAATTGAATGAAAGAAATTAAATAGCCCAATACTTTAATTGAAGTTTTGTGAGAGTGAGGTTTAGCGGAATATGTAGATTTAGGGCAAAGAAAACAGCTATGATTTGCTCAAAACAGGACTTTAAAATACTAAGACCAGCATGGTATGTTTGTCATATTAATAAACCGACGTAATATAAGTGTGTAACTGTCCATCTATTGTATGATAAATAGGAAATGTTTAAGCGAAAGTAAAAAAAATGTTAAAGCTAAAGATTTACAAATTATACTCACGTACTTAAATTGTATATCTCTAAAAAATTATGTGTTGCACAACCTCTATAAACACAGCCAAGTTTGCAAAGTAAAAACTACGATTCCCAGCAGTCTTTGGGCTTTGCAGGAGATTATCACGCATGCGCTGAACACAATTCCTCTCTCTTAGTCAGAGTAGCGGGGTATAGAGGGAGTGTCCTGTACAGAGCATAAACCGTAAACATCCATACCAAAGACTGAGTGTCTGCTCTTATGAATGGACAGAATTACATATTAAAATCATTGTAAACTATAGCGCTGGCCAGTCTGATACACCGGAATGATTTAGAGAGGCGTGGATTGGGAACAAGCTGTTCCTTTGATAAATGGTGACTGTCCAAAGAAGGAGAGAAAGAGGGAAAAATCTGAGAACCCCCGAACTGGAGGTAGAATTAAACTGGACATGGCACACCTTCAGAACATTCGGAACCAGGTAATCCAGAGAGATCAAGATGACACCTGGAGCCCTCCAGGCATTGCTTTCATACTGAGACATAACCGTTACTAAACGTTACAGTGTCTCTGTATAATAGTAAGCTTTTGTAATTATAAACTATTCCACTAAATAATATAATGTAATGAGTACACGTACACTGAAAAAAATGTGGGATTTACATAATTTTCACTCGGAAATTACTTGCAAATTGTACAGACAATTACAAAGAAACGGCAAGTAACACATTAAACGTGAGATTTTACAGTATTTTTTTGTAAAACATTCTACAATAATCTTTGTTTTATTTACAACTTCGAAAATTTCATTGTTACAGTGCAGTTTATGTAAATATATTGTACTGTTATGTGTGACATTTACCTAATGTGTAGCTTACGAATGCTTATATGATGTTCCTCTTGGAAAAAATACCAGGTAAATGAACAAAATACAGTCTCTTTCTTTCATAATTTTTGGCACACATCACAACTAGGGGTGCACTGAAATTGAAATTTTGGGTATTATCATAATCTATCTATTAGTGTTGTCAAGCGATTAATCGCATCCAAAATAAAAGTTTTTGTTTACATAATATATGTGTGTATACTGTGTATATTTATTATGTATATATAAATTAAAAAAAAAAAACACATGCATGTATATATTTAAGAAAAATATGTTATGTTTATATATTAAATAAAATTATTTATAATATAAAATATAAGATATTTATATAATATATATATAAATAATATATTTATATATACATAATAAAAATACACAGTACACATATATATATTACGTAAACAAAAACTTTAATTTTGGATGCGATTAATCATTTGACAGCACTATCTATCTATCTATCTATCTATCTATCTATCTATCTGTTTGAAAACCGATATGATGGCCACTATGATTTATGAAACGTATTCAAACTACAACTCCAATCTAGAATTTTGATTTTGAAACAGACAGCACCCTTTAAAAATGGCACTTTGACCTGTCTAATTAAAACTATTTTCATTTTTATAACCATTAACTAATCACTAAATATTTAACTAATAATGGTAGCTACTAATAATAGCCATTTTTTTTTAGCTGTCCCTCACATTTTGCACAACCCTGCTACCACACTATAATTCCTGTAACGCCCATGAAATCAGATCATTTGGACCCTCTAAAGCATGGTGGGAGCATGGATAAGATTTTCTCAATATTTGCACAAATTATAGACTGCATGAGTCCAGCTTAGCCTTTCAGCCCTGTTACCCTAGTTATTGTAAGAAAAACAATTATCAAACAGATCCTTTAATTTATGCCAAATATTATCACTAACTAGAACACCAAAATATTGTCCCAAACTACAGTTAGACTTTGCTGTAATTTTACAGTTACTTACCGCAAAAAAGCCCAATAAACTACCATATATGTTTTAAGGTTAACTCATAATATGCACTGAATTATGGGTATTTTAATGCCATTTACAGTAATTTACTGTATATGGGAATTTGCGGTACTTTACTGTTTGCTCAAAAGCAGTAGTGCTACTGTAAATTGTTCTGCAGATGAAAAACATGAATCTGCATTCTCAATATAATGTCTGGGTAAGCACAAGTGTGGTGAAATAAATGCATTTTTAAAATGATTAAAAAATAAAATATATAAACTTTGCTTACACCCCACACAATTTTTATTTTATTCACGCGCAAAGCCCGCGCAACAACCTGGCAGAGGTTATTGCTTAGAGGTTAAACTGAGGCTTGTGTCCAGTGCGCGCATAACGGACTTCCCCTCTGAGTGACTCACCAGACGTCAGCTGCAAGTTTTCCTGTGGTAAGTACTTTTCACTTACTTTTAAAACGTAAGCCATTATCAATATCAATTAAATTAAAAAATATGAAGAAAGTAAATATCAAATCTAATTATAGGCTATTACTAGGACAGTCTGAGGGAAAAGTTCGTTTTCCTCAAAAACTGCCGCTTTCATGAAACTCATTCAATTGTCCTGCAACTGACTAGTATAGTGACTATACAGTATAGTGACTATACTGACCTTTCCAGTATAGATGTGTAGTATTTACACGAACAATTATTTTTCGACTTTTGTCACTGCTAGTTATGGTGTATTTTACTCGTCAGTTAAAGGGGTCATATGATGCGATTTCAAGTTTTCCTTTCC